TTTGATCCAATTTTTCCTTTCCTCCCTCCCTCACCAGCTGAGTCAGCATTCTCGGTCCGCTGCTCCATTCAGCTTGTCATGTTTACCCTTTCCCCCTATACTGAATCTGTACTCAGCCTTCTGTTGATTTACTGTTTTGTGCCGGTATTGGACAAGTCGGTTCCACGAGATAGGTTGGCACACCCGTGTGCCGAAGTTCCGACTTTGTACAGTGACTCCTTCTTGAATGAAGCACCATGGCCAAGTAGTGCGGGTACCGGCTATCTGGTTTCTCCTTCTCAAAGGCTGTCAGTACAGCTAATGAGTCGTGTATGGCCCACTCTTCATAGATGTGTTTCTCTTCCACCTCTACCCCAGTACAGACACTGGAATTTCAGCGGACTGTCACTGCTGGCTCAGCTCAGTTCGCTTTATCTTAATCTTGGTTGGGCTCTTCTGTAGCTGTATATCTACCCTCAGTTCCCTCTACTGTACCAGCTTTGATCAGAGTCGATTTTTTTTACTCGATATGGGGTCTCCGAGTACCCTTTTCCGAGCAGAAAAGAGGAATGGAAGGCGTTAGTAAGGCATCGCAACCCTAACACAGAAGAGCCCTCGCGTGAGCCGGGCGAACCGACTGTGTAACATAAATGGGCTATATGAAAACGTCAGCATGATCCCAAGACTACAGGCGATGGGTTATGAAATTCGAAAGACTTACATGATATCACAGCTCTTCAAATGATTATTACTGATTCGATATTCAATAAAGAAGCGCTCACTAATGTATAGAATAGAGGTTCCACCGAGGTTGACTTCAGTTAATTGCTGGAAAGTTTAAAGCCGTTATATTTCAACAAAGTGGTCTAAGCTAAAGCTATATATGCTCTAAAATATCGATGGTTAGTCCATTAAATGCTGGCCATGCTGAAGTATCAGTTGCTCACCCAGCTTTTCCATCATGGCTATTCACTGTGATTGATTAGCCAATCTTCCTGGCTAATCCTTTTGACTGTTTCTTCGCTAGAAGGCCTCTCTTTGCTTTTTTTGTGAGGAATATGATACCGCGGCGTATACCGCTTGAAACCTTTCTTTTTTTTCTGTGATAAAATGAAATTTCTGAAATGGAGATTATACAATGCACATGTACCCCCGCTTCTTGAATACTGTTCCCAAATCTGGAGCCCATTGTATAAAAAGAATGTCATCAAATTTGAAAAGGATGTTCACTTAACTCTTCTTCCGCCAAGTACAACCAGATTTGTCCTGGGGTAACTTGCCGAGTCATGAAGAACGTTTGCGGCGACATAACATGATAACTCTAAAAAGGAGACGCGTCATAGCAGACCTTGTTTTTTGCTTTCGTCTCCTACGCATGGAAGTTAGCTGCAAGTAAGTATTGATCTTTAAGCCGACTAGTGTAAGGTCAGTTGGTTAAGCCGACTAGTGTAAGGTCAGTTGGTTAAGCCGACTAGTGTAAGGTCAGTTGGTTTCAACCTGCACTATACGAATTTGGGCAGGAAGAATTGGAGCCATTTGACAACCTTGTCCTCTATCGCTGCGTTAGATGAATGCAACTGCTACCTAACGAAGTGCTTTCTGCTAAAAACAGACAAATGTTCATAAACAGATTGAGAGAAATTAATCTGCTGGAACTGGTCTTGAGGGCTCTTATTGATACTTCGACGTATTCGCTATTTCATTTTTTTCTTCAAGAGTATTCCATCTCAGAAGACTTCCTGCCTTTCATGAACTGTGAGGATAATAATGATAAAAACGCTGTTATGTGATATGAAACTTCTCTCCGAGCGGCCTAGTCTGCAATCACCGCCTTTCCATTCCCGTTTGCGAGGTTCTCGAGAATCAACCGTCATTTCCCGAATACCTTACGAGGCTGTCAAAGAAATGCTCCCATGCCTGGGAGAGCGCAATCGTATCCAAGAATCAGAATGACATGAACTATTACTTGCGCCTAAGGGACCGCTTTCACAAAAAGCTCTCCAGGTACAATTTGAGGGCTGAAAAAAGGTGATTGCCTCACGTAACAAAACCGCCTTCTATAAGATGATATCTGCCAGGCTTATGTNTGCCATGGCCATTCTGTTTTTCCTTCTCAGGCTAGTTTCCCGTTAATGGGTCAATGTCCATGGATTCAGGAAGAAATTTTGATCTACCTTCTGAAGTGGCCCAAATCGTGCTCGCAAACCCCAGATGGGGTCCCTCTTTATTTCTTAAAGCGTATATCGAGCGTTATTGTCGGCCCCCTTAAACACATCATGAATCTATCTTTTATGAAAGGTGAAATACACTCATTTGGAAGCATTCTTACATTACCCCATACCTAAGAAACCCCCTTACGATATGTATTACGCCGGTTATTGTCAGGTTATTTGAGAAGATTATCAAGAAAGGAATCACTAATAACCTTGAAAAATATCAAATAATCAGTCCGGATCAATATGGTTTTGCTAGACAGAAATCTACCGTGAGTCAAATGATTGAAGCTCTTAATGACTGGACACTGGGTATGGATGCCAAAAAAAAAATGTTCATGTCATTTTGACTTCATGAAAGCTTTCGACAAGGTGCCACACAGTAAACTTTTTCATAAGCTGGAAACTGTTGGTATCCATGGTACGCAACTTAAGTGGTTGCGGAATTTTCTCACTAATCGAACGCTTCAAGTTCGTGTGAAGGACACATTTTAGGCAAGCATGAATGTCACTAGTGGCGTCCCGTCTCCCTTGTTGTTCAACATATACACCTTTGAACTCAGCTCTCTAATGTGGACTGTAAGATTTTTGCTGATGACCTAAAAGTTTACATGGTCATTGACTCAGTTGATGATCAAGCCCAGTTGCAAAATGCTATTAATATTGTCAGCAAATGGTCTAAGACACGGGATCTTCCTCTTTCAATGGATAAAACTAAGGTTCTTATTCTATTCCAATCTCCCAGTTGGTGCAGCTCATAACATATAGACGGCAAGGCCCTACACACTGTGTATAAAACTACAGATTTGGGTTTCATTATTTATCGTAACTTTAGTTTTGATCAACATGTGAACATGGTTGTCAGCATGGCCACCAATAATGTTTACAACTTTTTTTAAAGCCTTTGCCTGCAAAGGCTCCGAGGTTCTCCTAATGCATTCAAAACGTACATTCGCCCATTGCTCGAGTATGGGTCTGCTATATACTCCCCACACAAAATTTCCTCAATCAAAGCTCTCTAAAAAGTACAAAATGACTTCACCAGAAAGTTAATGGTTAGAATCCGTGGATATGATTGTGCGAGAATACCTAATAGAGCGATTAGAAATAAGATTCTCGGCCTCCAGACGCTCGAGAAACGAAGGAAAAGCAGGACTTGATCTTGCTATACAAAATTATTTTTGGCAAGATTTCAGTTGATAAACGCAAACTCTTTTTCTCAGGCGACTATCGTACTCGTGGCGGAAGTATCAAGGTGTTTATTCCTCGACCAAAATCTAGGTATAGAAGCCATTTCTTTCGTCACCGTGCTGTTATGGAGTTTAATAAATTTGTGAGACAGCATGGGGTACCTAAATCATGCGCTCACTACAAAAGACTGGTGACCCAATACTTATCATAATTTTTGCTCATCTGTTGTACTGTTAGTTTTTTTTGTATTTTCCCAATTTTTTTGCTTCTACCTTCTCTTTCCATTTGTATTTCTTTGCTTTTGCCCTACATTTTACTATTTTATTACAGTACCTTATGTTTTAATGCCACTTGCGTTTCAATTCTTCGGTGGTTAGTTTATTTGCTGTTGAGTTCACACGAGGTAACTCGTGCAATAAATCAAATCTTTGGCGATTGCCGTCTCTCTTTTTACAACTAACTCAGTGGTCAGTGGAGTGAGTACGGTCACCACCTTTCCACTCTCAATCGCTTCTGCGATTGCCGTCTCTTATTTCTTCAACTAATTGCCGAGGTCTGAGGTGCGAGTGATTGGAGCCACTAATGGCATCAATGAAAGCATACTACATTTTAATTCATTTCATTTCAATACTACTTACATGCAAATATGACATCTAGTACGTATGTGTAATGAGAAGCATCTTAATCGCACGGGTTCCAGTTAGACTTTAAGGTTGTGATTATATGACGACGGTTTTTCTGGTTTTCTGGCTGTGTTGTTTCCCTGTTATGCTTTGCTGATGGCGCACCTTGTGTGTATAATAAATAAATAAGCTGGTAGCCTCAAATTGACGTGATTTAATTGCTAGCATTGAAAGGACCTTCTTCCTCCGTCCTTTCCTTACGCATGTTTCGATGTTTTATTAAAAGTAAAAGATAACATTATGCAAATGTACAAACCCACATAGTCGAATCTCATTGTCAGGCAGAAAGCTTACATAACATCAAAAGTTTTACAAGTGGCAAGGTACAAATTCAATCCAAAAGCATTGCCTGCACTGCAAGCATGAATAGTTCGGAAAAGTGGTCATGAGAAAGTCATGAAAAAGCCAACTGGGTAAAAAACATAACTGATTGTGTTACGTAAAGAACACTTTGTGTCCCGTTAAGTATTATGACATATGATCATCATATGATCGATATCACAACTATTATTACAGATTACAGAAGGCTCAGGGAAACTGACCCTCGGAAAGTAAACATTTCACAGTTCAAAGAGGAAGAAAAGAAAGAAATATGAGAGATGAAGTAATACGGAGTCGCCAAGTTCATGTACCTGTGCTGACGAACATGGTTCCCCCTTCCTTACTCTAACTCAACAAGAGGGGAAGCAACGATAGAGAGATGTATATCGCTTGAATACGTTCACCTAAAAAAAGGAGGAAATTCATTAACAAATTACGAAAAAATATGAAATATACTTAATTTGACTTGACGTTCTTGCTAACTGCTGCTATTTCACCGCGGTGGGCGATGCAAAAGTTCCACAAAGTCGGCGAGTTATGGATAAATTATTTAGCCCATAACTCGCCGACCTTATGAGATAAAGAATACTCCCTGTACAACAAGCCAATCTACTTACCATTTAGGCTGATACTTCTCTAAAGTCGAGTTCGGCCGGAAACGACACCAACTCAAATCCATGTTATTCATAGCATAACTCATCGGGGCAATCATTACTACCATAGCAATCTAAAAAAATTCAAATATAATAGATATGAAATTTATTGCGAACGACATAACAAGTCCGCAAACAATGTAAACGAACCGTTGACAGAATCGCCAACCAGACCCAAAACCTTACGAAACCGAGACGGCAACACAAATGCCATTGAAGGCAATACACCCACATAACATTGGCCCAGAACATGCTTACATCGAGAAATGTCGTCACTCTGCAAAAAATGAAACTCAGGTAACAAGCTTTCAGTGAATACAAACGCAACGTACAATACGAAAATTTGCTATGATAGGTGGGAAGAAATTTGACGAAGCATTACAATACCTCGAGGTACCATTACAGTTTACAGTCGATCTAAAGCAGCATTAAGACATTGCACAAATGGTTCTAGGTGTATTGGATGAGGAGGGCCAGCTGATGCTACTTATCTACCCTGCTTCGAATTTGTGCCCAAGATAAGCGCCAGAGTCGTTTAAACCACCACGAATTTCGCCACGGTTTGCCGCGTGCATCCAGAATAGGGTGAATGTACCCATACTATATCCTCCTATGTTAAGATGGGTGTTAGCGACGCAGAAAAACGAGCTCAGCTGAAGGCAGAAGCACACGATTTCGCTGATTTTCAGATCCCCGCTATAACTATAGCCAAGATTCCGAAAGATGCTGCAGAATGCGATATACGTCCTCAAATATACATATATATATATATATATATATATATATATATATATATATATATATANATATATATATATATATACTATATATAATACCAGGGAGCGGGCCGCCCGGCTAACGCCGGGTTTCCCTCCTTCTTATGGGTGTCGGCTTCCCCGGACGGTCTTCCTTCCTGTAAGAAATTTGCTGTGCGTAAATAAAACTGTTCGGATTCTCCTTTTTCCTTGAAAGCTCTACGCCCTCAGTATCAGCTCCAAATTGCGAGCGACTTTCTGTGTAATCCATCTTCGCTGTGTCCGGCAAGAATATCGTATAATATCACAAAGGTGATTATTCAGAGAAAAAAAGGGACAGATGGGCTGAGGAAGCGTACCTCCGTGAAGTTCTCGTGCAATTGGAATACTTCGAATGCCCTATGGCCAGATTGTCAATTTTCGCGCAAACCCCGCCCCTGTGGGCGAGGTCCTTTCCTGCCACCTATACTAAGTGTTCCCATCCTGTCGCCTGTACTCCTACCAAATCTCTAGGGCCAAATTGACAATTTTCGCGCAGTCCCCGCCCCCTATGGGCGGAGTCTGGTCCTGCCACCCACCGTTAGTGTTCCCATCCTGTTCCCACAACTCCTACCAAACTTGAACGTTCTAGGTCCACGGGGATAAAAGTTATGAATTTTCGCTCAAACTCCGCCCATTGTGAGCTCAGTCTGGCCTTGCCACCCACCATTAGTGTAACTATCCTGCCGCCCGTACTTCTACCAAGTTTGAGTGCTCTGGGATTAGGGACATGAGTTCTGAATTTTCGCTCAAATATTTTCTCTCACAAACCTCGCTCCCTCTCGCTGGAGTCCAGTCCTGCCACCCACTAAAAGTGTTCACATCGTGCCGCCTGTACTCCTACCAAATTTGAACGCTATCGGTTCATGGGGACAGAAGTTATTAATTTCCGGTCAGACACATACACAAACACACCAACAGACACACTTAGCCGATTATATAAGTAGGATATATATATATATATATATATATATATATATATATAAGGAAAGAAGAAATTTTGATGGAGCAAAAAACTCTTGCCTAAAAAGTAGAAGCAGTTCATAGTGGTCGTACGCTCGATGGCCAGGCTTGAGGTACTTGAACTGTGCAGGAATGAAAGTTTTCCGTATATTTCCTACCAACACGGCGAAAGATGTCATCATTCTCAGCAGTTGAAGTAGCAGCTCAATGGCATCGGCGATTTTTTTCCGTCTGAAATAGACAAAAAATAATTTTACTCAAAAAGCATAACACTAAACGTTCCATGGGAGTTCTGGCACTGTCCTCACCTTCGTTCTATACGAGCCGCTTCCCTTAATTCCTCGCGGATACGACGACGCACTCGCTGAGTTAACGCCTTTCGATCCCTCCTCGCTCGTTTTGCGAGTTTCTTTTCATCGTATACGTCATAAGTGTTTGTGTAATTAGGTGCCAAAACATCCACTGCTTAAAAGTGATTTCAATATCAAAAGAGTACAAAAGATCCGAAGATACTTGATCTGACTCTCACCATTTCCATTTGGCGAGTCTTTGGGTTTATTTTTTATTCTAAGAGGATTTTGGATCTTCTCAACAATCCGTCCCCAAACACTAGTCTGAAAGACAATAAATTAGCTATGCTGATAAACAAGTAATCCACACTCCGAAACTTGGAAATGGGAACGCGTGGCTGCGGACCCCAAATCATGCCAACAATGGTTCGCAAATAATGGAACCCTGTATCGGGAACAGACTGCGGAATTAGAGTGCGGCCGTGTGTAGGTTAATTCACGTTTTGCATCCCTATACCATCATAAATAGACATCTCTTCTTAGAGAAGAACGGACAGGTAGGAGGCCCATTTTTACTCATTGTTGCAGCACCTAAATAGAGTTCCTCACAGTACCACTTAAGTTTTTCAATGTTCATGGCTGCTTTCAGACCTCAACAATCAGCTGAGACCGCCCGTCCGTCCAGCGCGTTGCGTGCTTGGACGGCGGTCCCAGCCACTTGTTGACAACACTGGCACGTGATCCAGTGTTGTCAGCAAGTGGCTGGGGCCGCCGCCGCACGCATGCAATGCACCGGACGGACGGACGGACGCCGGTTGGATCGTTCAAGTCTGAAGGCAGTTAACGAAGCGATGTTATCGCGGCGAGTAGGAACTACAGGAACAAGAGATGTAACAGTAGAATCATGCCAAAACTAATAATCGCATATCAATCAAGCATATGAAGAACGCTAGAACTGCAATAACGAGGCAACTGGTAAACGACTGCCGCAAGCGACGATTCCATTGCATATAACCGATTCAACTGCTCGTCTCCCTAGATGTCGGAGTTGGAAGACTTGGAAGAGTTGTCTGACGTAGAAATCGCACTGTGTAGGCGGCGCCTGGGTCGAAGCCTATGCGCTCCAACAGTAATGGGTTTCCAGAGGGTCGCAGCCCGCCTTCCCTTTCTATGAGATATGTGGTATAATTATGTTACCTTCGACTCCTCGCTAACACTTCGATGTATAGACGGCCGAACGGGCACAGTATCCTTGAAAAAAACTCTGCAAGTGAAAAATTCCGAAAAAGAACATTGGTTGAGGAAAGAAAAAAATGGAACCGAAAAACGCCGTGTTCGGCATATGTTGCATTTTACAATTTCATGGTACCCCATTCCGTTTTCGAAGAGGAGATGGTACGGCGAGGAGCGAAAAACAGTTAAAAAACATTCTTGATACCACTCCACTACAAATGAGGTATAGTCTAAAGAATTATCACATTAGATGTTGGAGTGTTGATAACCATGGTCGAAAATGCTAGTAAGAATCTGAGCGCATGCATATTGTCTACAGTATGTGGGATGAAACAGAAGGCGGAAACAACGAGTTTAAAAATGTTCAAGGCCAAGGTTTCGCTCAATGTGAACAACCTTGTCAGACATTCAAAAATCACCAAGAAAAAATACACTTTCGGGTGGTAAATATGTATGGATCTACCAAGAAACAGTGCAAAAGTTTCTGAGCGGAAAACAAACGCCTACTACTCAAATCTTTCCATCCCAACAAAGAATGCATAGTGTTGGCGTTCTTCCTATCATCACCTCAAGGAAAACCTCCGAGTATATCGAGGGAGGGCGGGG